TGTGCCAGCGACCTGCAGCACCTCATCCCACCACATCGAAGAACTAAAATTGATGTCCCTCAAAAAAGGTCCAATGGTGGTGAGCCAATCTCCAACTATGAGGGGACCGATTTCCGACTTCGAGAGCTCCGGCAAACTTGGCAACTCAATTGCACGAACCGATTCTTGCTGGGCCATAATCCCACCAAGCCATGCGGGAAGACCTGCACAGGGTAGGTTCGGATCTCCACCACCTCCAGGAGGTCTGCCGCCGCCCGGAAAACCTCCAGGAAGACCCCCTCCAGGGAAATCACCATATCCATTCCCTTGACCACCAAATGGAGGACCACCGCCAGGTGGACCAACGCCACCTCCTGATACACCAGGACCACCTCCAGGTAGACCAGAACCTCCTACATAACTTGCATGACCAGAAATAGGAGCACCACCAATTCCAGAAGAACCACCACCCGTAGCACCCTGGAACTCACCATTCCGCTGACAACCATGACCATTCAGGGAGGCGTGCTGCCCTTGACCACCACCACCAGATAGCTCTTGTCCCGGAACCCGTTGGTCTTTAGCTGAGCCACCCACGGACACGACTGTCTCATAATCTCTTTGTCCCACATCAATCGAAAGCGGTGCTTCCACGGACGAGGCACCCGACATTTGCTTCAGAGGGCCCTTTGCGGACCCCAGCATTCCAGGGAAGAGCGAGCGCATCACATCACCTGCCGAAGATGACGATAATCCATTGAACACCTCCATCAAACCTTGTACGAGGACCCTCAACGAGCCCGTGTGCAAGTCCAAAATCATGGTGAAGACCGCCTAGATTTGGTTGGCCTCCATGGTCACCCAATCCGGTCAAAGGTCCCAATAAGCCCTTCTCGGACGGCATGCGATTTGCCCCAAAGGTTGCCCTTTCAAACATGGACCCCCACAACGACTTGTCTTTTGGAAAATTATCGCCCATCACATTCATAGGCCATGGAGAAGGCCCAAACCAGGACCAGCTTGCGAGCCCCAGCCACCGGCTGCCCTCGATCCCATCCAAGTGTTACGTTCGGACCAAAGCCTTGCGTTCTCTGCCATGAGCCCCTGGATGATTGCCTTCATCGTTTCAGCCCCATCTCACGAAGGGCTAATGCCTTGACCTTCAGCGGGCAGCAGCTCAAGAGACTGTTGAGGAGGTAAATCAACTGGTCGAATGGCCCACAACCCCGCCTCATCGCGGACGGACTCTAACCAGAATGGATTCCAATTCTCTGGTCCAAGAACAACAGGAGGGCCCGTAAGCCTTGCCAGGATGCCATCAGATGGACCAGCATCTTCTATTGCCCTTAATCCACCAAATTCGGGTGTCAGCTCAGACGTGGCACCCTCGCTCATGGCGCACTTAGAACCCAGCGGAGCGGTTTCCTTCAACACGTTCTTGGGCTCGTAACCCACACGGAAACAAAATTGTTTCCTTCTTCTTTCAACATACAAAAAGGCTTCGGTTATGCGATCAACTTCAAATTGCATAAAACAAACTACTCGTGCGATGATTTCGGTTTTCATATAAAAAATACATCATAAATACAAAATTATATTAACTACTTTATATTTTGGGTAATATAATAAATAGTATTATTTATCAAAATATAATCGAAAAAATATTATTCACTATATAATGAATATTATAATATAATATCAAAAAGCTACCAATATTTTTACAATGCATTTTAAAAATCTTACCAATTTCCAATATATTATTACCCTCAATCACTCATATTATTATTTCCTATTTAAATTAATTCAATTTATTTTAATCCTACCTCATTTATATTAAATAAATAACTTCAATATCAAATTTTTATATCGATATAATTCTATATAAAAATATTTTATTACATAATTTTCGCCCACAATATATCTTTAAGAAAATAAAAAAAATAGATCTATAAAAATATATAAATTAAATATACATTTTTTTTACCATAATTAAATCGAAAAATTCAAAGAAATATCATAATTCGAAAATATACTTCGGAATTTTTACGAAAATATAATTCGAAACGTAAAAATCATATTGTTAAATTAATTAAATTTCCAAAATAATTCCATTCTTCCCCGAAACAATAAATAAACAATATATATTAAATATTAAATAAATCAAAAAAATGCATTTTTCCATCAAAAATTCCAATAATCCTCTATAAATCCCATAAAAACAATCAAAATATAAAATACATAAAAAATTGCTTAAAAATACATAATTTAAATCCAAATCGAATTCGAAAATATATAAAAATCAATATAAAAACCTAAATACCTAATATTTACGTATAATTTTACAAAACATAATTCGGAAGTATAATTCGAACGTATAAATCGGTTAAATCGAATTTCCAACCACTATATCAAGAAGAATACGCCAAAAAATACAAATCCATATAGAAATAGATAAAAATTCATCCGTATCCACATCTCAATTATGTTCTTTCTTTCTTTCTTTATTTTGTTCTTTCTTTCTTTCTTTCATTCTTTCTTTCTTTCATTCTTTCTGTCTGTCTTTCTTTCTTTCTGTCTGTCTGTCTGTCTGTCTTTCTTTCTTTCTTTCTTTCTTTCTTTCTTTCTTTCTTTCTTTCTTTCTCTCTCTCTCTCTCTCTCGCTCTCTCCCTCTCTCTCTCCCTCTCCCTCTCTCTCTCTCTCTTCTCTCTCTCTCTCTCTCTCTCTCCTCTCTTCTCTTCTCTTCTCATCTCACCTCACCTCACCTCATCTCTTCTCTTCTCTTCTCATCTCTTCTCATCTCTTCTCATCTCATCTCTTCTCTCCTCTTCTCTGCTCTTCTCTCTTCTCTCTTCTCTCTTCTCTCTTCTCCTCTCTTCTCCTCTCTTCTCCTGGGGTCTCCTCTCCTCTCTTCGTCTCTCTTCTTCTCTCTTCTTCTCTCTTCTTCTCTCTTCTTCTCTCT